CTTTAGCTGCATGATTAGTGACCTCAACAAGGATAATTCAGATGAAAACTATGAGCAAGGATGTAAGCTCTTAGGATAAGAAAGTAAGGACCAAGATGATTCATAGAAACTTACTGACCTGACAGAACTGCACTTTCTCTCTACACTGACAATGCATTACAAGGAACTTCCCCGTTTTTATTCACAAGGAAGTAGAGATTACAATACAATTTGCAGGAGAAAGTAACTAATTTTTAAGCAAAATTAAAAGCAAAACACAGAATTACAAGGCCTGAAATAAGCAACAAGCACTGCCACTCACCACAGGGCAAACCTCAAGCATTGAGTAGCATGGAAGCACTCTAGGCTTGATGACACAGGTGAATGAAGCCCTCTAAACAGTCTCTTGCCCCTTGCTCACAGCTGTGACACTGGGCAGCCATGCCCCACACCTGAATCCATGCAGCTGCAGTAAGTTATTTGCAAAGGCAGAGCCTGCACATGGAAGCCACCAACTGAAACCCACAAAAATCATTTCATCCAAGCTATGAAAACAGTAAGTTTTGCCATATAAAGTTATTACTTGTCTGGCCTAGAATCAAAGGAACAACCTAGACTGAAAGGGTCCTTAAAGACACCACTAATGCATTTGCAAACACCTCCTGTTCTTCCCCTCACGCTAACCCAGTTTCCTAAATCATTAAAGACCCAAACTGCATGCTCAAGAATTCCCCTATTTCATTTCACATGGTCAGTGGATGTGGACAAACCAGAGCAACATAACTGCGGGATAAAGTGGTAATGAATGCAGAAACCACCCACAGCTGAAAGGCTGAAAAGCACAAGGCATTAACGGTCCCATTTAGAGGCTATTAGAAAACTGCTCTGCTAAGATGAACCACATTTAGAGTAAAAACCTAGCACCTGCACACACACAGAATGAAGCAGGAAGAAAAAGTAATCCATGACAGACAGATACAACAGACACTAAAAAATGCTTGTTTCTTAGGTGTTTATAAACACCAGATTGTTTTGGTTTGGGCTTCTTTTTTACAGGCCCTACTGATTTCCCTGCACACTACCTGAATATTGGGCAGCAACAGCAAGTCACATTTCCTTGACAATTTAGCTGTTCATAAACTGTTTGCTCAGAAGACAATCATCTGTAGTCTGAAGAAAGCATGAACATACACACACGCATCTGATTTATGTGCTTATCCACCACAAGCAGACCGTCACAACACGCCCCACCTCGTTAACACTCAGTTACAAGAGTCCTCCTTTGTTCAACCCACATCCCACTGCTGCCACCAGCAAGAAACAAGGCTCTTGGTCACCCTGAAGGTTTCCAACCTGGATCTCTGACATGTCCGTTGTTTAGAGAACAAAGATGTTTTCAACCCGTGGGCTTCCAATTGGAGGACCTCTGCATGCAGTAGTTAAGCGTGTTGGTGCCTCCAATGCCTTGGTCCATGGGGCCAGCACAGCCCTGGAAACACCCCATGTACACGCACCCCTCCCGCACACACACCCACTTGAAGCCGTTTGCTGCCGGGCAGCAGCTCCGAGCAGACACAGGGCCGGGAGAGCCGGGCCCAGCTCCAGCAAAGCTGCTCCAGCACCCCTCGCTTCGGGGCACAGACAAGAGCTGGGTGCGCTGCACCGGCCTGCACGCTCTCCTGGGCACGGGGCATGCCCGAACTACCACCGGCACCGGGGCCCGGAGGGCGGGCAGCGCTCGGAGCCAGCACCGCAGCGGCTGTGGGGATGCGGCACTACCGGGGGGACAGGGACCCGCTGACGGCGGTCCCGGAGGAGGAGGGGCCGCGCTCGGGGTCACTCACTCGGTGATCTTGGGGTCGAGGTTGCCGATCCAGAGGCGGTGCCCGTCCTGCAGCGCGCCCTCGGACAGGATGGAGGCGTTCTCCAGCGGCAGGGCCTGGCGCCCCGGCTCCATGGCTCTGCGGAGGGCACCGGTGAGAGCGGGGCGAGCGGGGGACGCGGCGCTGGGGTCGGGCCGGGACCGCACTCACCATGACACCGCGCGGGCCGCAGCCGCGCCGCCCTCGCCTAGGCCTCGCCCCGCCCTTGGCGAGGACTTGTGACGTACCGACGCGACGCGCACCGATGACGTTGGTGAAACGCACGGGGCTGCGCGACGGTGAGCGAGGCTGCGGGCGGCCACCCAACCCCCTTCCTGTCCCGTGCCCTCCGCCGGTCCCGCTCCCCGGCCCCGGTGCACGGCGGGAGGGGCGGGGCCCGGGCCGGTGTCCGCGGGGCACCGGGGAGCGCGCAGGCGGGGCGGGGTCGGTGCCCCCTGAAGAGAGGGACGCAGAGGGGGCGGGGCCAGGCGAGGGGCGGGACCTTATAAAGAGGCGGGGCATCGCGGTGGGCGGGGCATCGCGGTGGGCGGAGCCTGCTCACACGTGCACCAGGGCAGGCACCACCGTGAGTGGGTCTGGGGGACGAGGCGCAGCGGTTGCTCTCGGGGCCGGCCTCGGAGCGGCGGAGAGCGGGGAAGGGCCGGTCCCTCCCGCAGCCAGCAGTGGTGGTGCCCTGGCTCCCGCAACCATTGTGGCCTTGTGTGAGTTTAACGTTTGTTTCTGCAGCTCCGAACCACTGCGCTGGAGTAAAGCTGGGGGAGCTCAGGGGGGTTTGGGGCCTCAGGCCACAAGTGACAGAAATTAACGGTTGTGTTCAGCTGATGTGTGGATACCAGCTCTCCTGATGAGCTGTTCCTGCTTAACAGAGCCTGTGCCACAGGCCCTTCTGGATGGGTGTGCAGGTGCATTCCCATGCAGCCCCTTCCACTGGATTTGCCCACTGGTCACTGCAGAACACCCATAGGGCTCAACTCCCACCTCACACTGACAGGTACAACTGAGACCTGAATCCATTTCTTAGCACTTGGACCACCTGCCTCTTCTCTTTTCCAGGTGGGTTAGAGAGATGCTGTAGACGATGGCCATGGCACTAAGATGCTTCTGGCGTCTGCCTTCCCTGCTTTATCGCTCCTCATTCGCAGTGAGACGGGGGCTGCCACAGGCTCCCACGGGCTGCCCATCCTTGCTCCTGGATGGCTGCAGGCAGTGTGTCCATCAGGTGCTGCTGAACAGACAGCTAGCTACCAAGAAAGGTAATGGGTTTCCTACTGTTTGCAGCCCCTCATTATGTTGGTGGAATTTCCTTTCCTGTCCCCTTTATCTCATGTACAAGTATTGATCTGACTTAGGCAGAACGCAGCTCTGGAGGAGCTGGTTTACCTCATGGTGTTGCATGGGAAATGTTGGCCCTTCCCTTGGGAGAGCTGCAGCAGCACACGGAGCTGCCACTGCTGTGCTGGGGCAGTGGGTATCAATCATCACAGTCCAGGCTGGAGTCAGTGCACACAGTGTAACCAACAGATACATTTTGTGCTTAAGTGCCGGGCTATTTACTCATTAAAAAATGTGGTTGTTTTGGTATATCTTGGACTCAATTTTGAATCTAACAGGGGGGTTGGTTAGTACTTTCTTTCTGCTTCAAAATGCAACTGAACTGTTGTCAGAAATAAACTTATTTTTTTGTATAATCTGCAGCTAAAGGTAAAGGGCAGAGTCAAGCCAAAGTGAACATCAGTGCTGCCCTAGTTGAGGATATTATCAATTTGGAGGAAACCAGTGAAGACATGCAGGCGGTGGTAGAAGCTCTGAAAGAAGACTTAAGCAGAAATATCAGTGTTAGAACCTCACCAGGTTGGTAACCTCCTTGCATGATGCTCTATTGCCTGTAAAGACGGGTACCTTTTCTAGCAACGGAGAACTGATTTTTTCCAAATCTGTTTTCTTTTTATTGGGTTATTCACTGGGCACCCAATTACTCCAACCTTGATCTCCCCCAGCTAAAGGCTTTCTTCACCCTGAGCTTGACCAGGAAGAATCCATTTTTGTTAATAGCTTCCTGGAAATAGCTTTTCTAAGTGGGAGATGTCAAAAGTGTCTAACTGAACCGTTTGCAGATGTGATGAAGAAGCAGGTTGTCAGCTAATGGTGCAGTAGGGCAGGAAAAATCCAATTGCCATTAAATTAGCCTTTTGGAAACTGCCATGAGGCTGGTGTCTGGCATATACAAACTTCTTTTTGCTGTGCATCTTTGTGTTTAGTGACCTTCACAAGCCTTGTTCATTTAATGAAGTTTGTGTTTTAGGAAGAAACGTGAATATATTTGACTAAGCTACAGTTACTATAACACTCTGAACTATTTGTTAGTAGTATCAAGTTTCAAGGATAAAACTTAACATTAAACAATGAGCAAGCTTGAATCATTCACCACCCCAGCTCTGGCAGGGGAACATCAGTCTTTAATGGAGTTGGAAAGCATAGCTCAGGCTCTTAACTATTTATTTTAACCATAGGTATGTTTTTTAATTGCATTGATAAAGTACCTCTTGTCCCCTGTGCCTTTTGGCCTGTTAACATTTTGCAGCAGAAACTAGAGAGCAGATTAAGAGTAGCTCAGGGAGAAACCGAATACTTTAAATTAGGCCATGTACAACACCTCCTCCTGGGACTTGGAGGGGGGAAAAAGTGAGGGGTTGAAGAGAACACGGCTACATTAAAGACAATATTCTTGATTTGTATAACAACAGTTTGATTTTCTTTAAGCTTTAGGGATTAAAAAATAACAGTTTCCTTTTAATTCCTAACAATCCTGCTTAGTTTTCCTGTTTAGTAACAAAAACAAACACGAGTTTTGTTTTCATGTTTTTGTGCTTTACAGCGGCGTTGAAATATTTAGGTTGCAAATACCACCGGGGATGCGGGAACGCAAGCAGCATCTGAGGTCTGAATAAACATGGGTTCTTTTCCCTTCATAACGTCTCTATTTTGCATAGCACAAGGGAAGTGGGACACAGCGCACACGTTTTCCTTCAGCTTTGCTGTATCACACTGAAACCCCCCTGTGTTTGCTTCTTTTGAGGGGCCCTTGATCACATCATCGTGGTGACAAAAGATGGGAAGTTTCCGCTGAACCAGCTGGGCCAGATCTCCCTGAAGTCCCCGCAGCTCATTGTAGTGAACATGGCCAGTTTTCCAGAGGTAAGGACACATTGCCAAAGGCATTGCAAGGGGAGATCATTGCCACGGGAACAAACAGGTTGATGCTGAGCATCCCCTGCAGAGACTCACACAAGCAGTGCTGGGCAACCCTGCAGATAGGAGCAGTAAGAGCACAAGGTCAGCTATTCATCCCGCTCCAGGTCTGGAGCTTTGCCAAAGCTTATCTCTATTTATTTTCCAAAGGCTTTCCCCAATTAATTAAGTCAGCAAAGTCTCAGAGGAGGTCAGTGTAAAGCACTTGATGCCTAAGTGTTTCTTAAAGTGCATCCAGCATGTATAATGGCTTTGAAGAAGGGAGGCTCCTCATCAGCGAGTGCACCGAGGTCCCTTGGAGTGCCAGAGCTGAGAGAGCCAGGGAAGTCACTCCATGACTATAGCCCATGTCCAAGCAGGAGTTCAGGCTGAGAAATGGGCATGTGAGACATTAAATAGTCCACTGTATAGCATTGCCTGCGTTGGCTGTCTAAGCCAAAGGACAATTTTTCATTGGAACTAGAGCTAGAACTACTCCTCTCAATGCAGTTAGTTTATACCATAACTGTTCCGTGGATAGATTGAACTCTTTAAAACCATTACAGATAATTTACTTGATGTCATTATTTACAGCATATTGTCAGTACTTCATGGCATTGAAAAGCAAATAAAAATGCCTGAAGAGTCTGGAAAAGAAAATAATCACAGAAAAGGACTTTCAGGGCCAAATTCTGTTTGCCTGGGAGTTATAAAACCAAACAAGACTGTTTTTTAAGCCTGGATATTTATTTCATGGGCTGCAAGTTGATGGAGCAATATTGCAGTATTTTCCCCTTCCTCTGTCTCCTCCAATCTGCATGTTAAACAACACAGCTTTTACTGAGCATTTCCTTCCTACAGAGCAAGCACTGTCCATAGAATAACACATTTACATTCCTAATGTGCTGAGGTCATCTTGGTTACATTTTCTCTGCCCTTGTTGTGTTCTATAGGACAGCAGTTAGGTCTTACAGAACACTAGCATTCATTCCATTCAGTGATGGCACGCATCGGAGACCTAAGCAGATAAGCCAGGCTTAACTTTGTGCCTCAGTTGACAAAAGCTGAACTGATAAATACATAATAACCCTACATACGGTCTCCTGCAGCAGCTTGGAGCTAAAGTGAATGATGGGAAGGAGTATCAGAAATAGCAGTGTGCCTTGTAGGAAATACCACATGAATACAGACTCACTCTGTTGTTATTGACAGTGTCAAGAACGAGGCAACCTGGCAGAGCGCTCCTCCTGGCAAAGCTCTGATTTAACCATTCAGCCTGTCACTCTGTAAAGGTACACCAGGGCCCTGGGATGGGGAAGGAAGCCTCTTAATCACTTTGCAGCTACCCCATTGCAGCACCCCCTGTTTTGAGCAGAGCAGAGGAGTCAGCCAGTGATGGTAGAGTTTGGAGAAGTTAATCCCTGTGAGATAAACATTAGAGCTGGGCACAGGCACTATTTCTCCTCCAACTGCTACTGGCCTGATAGGATGCGGTCAGGCTGTAGTGCTGAAGTGGTTAAGTTGCTGTGTGATTCCTAGTGGGAAACATTCAACTGGAATTTCTGAACGCTCAGAATCTTTCATCTCCTTCGCCACAGTCAGGCGATGTCTTGGGATTTTATTGCGGTTTCACTCTGCGTTGCCTCAAACCATTCAAATAGTTTCAAAGAAGCCAAACAGTTTTCTTTTGTTGTTGCTTCCCTTCCCCTCTTCCCCCCTTTGTGCCCCCCTACCCCGATACCGAGCGCAGCCGTAGTTTCCCATTCGGTTTGATCAAAGCTCTCCGCACCAATGTAACTTCCTGATCTTACTGGTAACAGAAGTAAATGTTTCCATGTTCCATGGAGATGGATTGCCAACTATTGACAGAGTTCTGGCATATGGGAGTGATTATTTCCTAATTCCCTTTACCTTTTGATCTGTTTTACAGAGCACAGCTGCAGCTACGAAGGCTATAAGGGAGAGCGGCATGAACCTGAACCCAGAAGTGGATGGCACAGTAATCCGGGTCCCAGTTCCTAAGTGAGTATTGATGGCTGCCCAAGTTCATCATCGTGCAAGATAACACAGTGGGTTGCAGTGAGTGCCCTTCAGAAGGGAAGCATACGTGATTGTTGTAATGTCATGATGCAGCTGCTTTCCAAGAAGCTGTATTTCAGGTTCAGAAAGGAGTCTGAGCCCCTAAAAAATGGCTGGAGGAAGCTCTTCCAAGTGTCTGAGCTCTAAGTCATCACATTTTGGCATCTGATGGTTGGTCTTATTGTTCTTTATCTTCCCCCTGCAGAGGAGACTTGGTCCTAGCTGGCTGAAGCACTTTCCAAGAGACAGCCAAAGGCTTTTGAAGCTGTATTGCTTTAAGTCAGGGGCTGATTCTTTGCTGCCCTGCTGTAAATTCCTTGAATTGCACCAGCATAGAGTAGCAGCAGCACTGGTGTGAACCAGCAGTGTTAGGGGTGAGTAGCACCTTGCTGCAGAAAACACTAAAATGTGGTGATGAAAGAAAGGAGGAGGAAATTTATAGCTTCAACTAAGGAATCTGGTCCCTCTTCTCATGTAATACACATTGTGTAGCTGATGGCTGTGTGGAAGGTTTGGAATAGAGATGCTAGAAATGCAGGCTGCTCCTGGCTGAGGTTTGCGCATCGCTTCCCTTACCCATCGCAGGAGTGTCCCAGCCCTTGGACTAAGCAGGAGGTGCTACTGCATCAGTGCTTCAGTTTGGATCAAGAGAGTGCTTTTGAAGCAATCCTGATGATTCCTGCTTAGTGTGCTTTGGGCTGCAGCATGCTGGGGGCTCCCCCTGTGAACAGGATTCCTTTCACATGAGGTACCTCACCATACTAGAGAGGTACCTTCTGGGAGCTCACCGAGTGCTCTCCCACTGCACACGTGTGTTTGGTTCCTGGGACCAGGCTGGACCTCCCAGCAGCGATGCTCCTACTGCCGCACAACTGGCCTGCATAGACAGAGCGTGTGAGACACAGGGCAGGATTGGGTGGTGCAAGGGTAATCCATGGGTTCCTGTGCCTGCTTAAACCCTGCAGCCATCTAAATGCCACGGGTGGGTGTACATGGTCTCACACCCTGGGGTTACACTGCTGGACCCACAAAGGGTCAAGACAGCTCCCTACACTGCCTGTGCGTGCAAACCCCTTGCACGTGCGCTGTGTTTTACAAGCAGGTGACTTCTCAGTCCGGATGAGCCAAGTATTCCTCGTGCTTTACATCTACTTTTAAAATTCTATGGAATGTTTTTTTTCCCCTAGCATTTTGATCAGAGAAGTCTAATTGCAGCTTTCCGTTGCTGTCGGTGAGAGGGAATGACATTATCATTCTATTTGCTGATTTTCTTTTCCCCGTGCTCCCTGCCCTTCCCCCATTCCTCGGGAGAGGAGGAGGAGGAGGAGGAGGGCACCATTATCTTCATAATTGCTGAGGCTCCCGGGTTGCTGCACAGTGGTTTGATTGTTAATGGGCACTTGGGTCATCCTTGAATAGGAATTGCAGGGGAGGAAACTCCAAAACTGAAAATCCCAATCTTTAAAAAGATACTGGTGTTTTAAACAAATCTGTCACTACCTTGCGCGGTGCTGCAGAGCTAAAATGAGTCTTCTCTCTCCAGGGAGGATGTGCCTGGTGTGCTCCCCTGTTCCTCTGGTGTGTAACGGGTGCAGGTCCTCGCCCCTTTCTCCCTGGCTGGTTGGCAGCCCAGTGAGCCCTAAGTTAAATAGCTTTATAGCCTGGGAGATGTGCCCTGCAGATTTGCCTCTGCCATCCTGTTTGCTCTTTAGTACCATCACTGGGTCTTTCAGAGTTTCAACCACTTACCAAAAGACCTTTTCAACCTTAAAACCTTCTAATGCACAGGGAGGGTGGAAATAGTCAAATTCTATTAGAGGCTTCTCTTTAATGCTGTATCCCTGAATGACTGTCTTAAATTATCTAAGTTTTTAATTTTCCCAACCCTTCTTTACAAAATATACAAGACAGATGCAGAGAGATTGCCCAAATGATGGCAGGTGTGAAAAAATGAGCAAGCAGATCAGAAAAGAAGAAGCAATAGAGATAAGGTTGTTTCTGCAGAAGTCTGTTCTTTCATGAGGGGAAGCACAGTAAAAGTAAAATCAAAGCTGACCTGTTATAAACACACTTTTCAGTCTGCTCTATCAGCTGGACACGTGTCATTGTGCCTTATGCAGATCCAGCTTCAGTGCTTGCGCCTCTTTCAGCTGAGTATTTTAAGATGGAGTTTACTTTCCAGTATTTATTCTGGGAGTTTAGCTTTTGCATTGCAGTTGTAGCAGGAAAAATACACTCGTTCCGCTGGTGTTTACTTCTGCTGCCTGCTCGGACCCCCTCTGCTCCCCAAGGCATTCTCCTGTTTGCGTTGCTAGCACCGCACAGGCAATATTTATTTGTGTAAAAAGTATTCTCTGAGGGTTTTAAAAGGGGAAGAAAAAAAACAGAAAGAAGAGAAAGAAAAGCAGCCATGGGAACATTCGTACTGGTTGCTCTCTTGGCCGAATTTGACCTGACCTTGTGTCTTTTATGGTGGTGCCTCATTTTTAGATTCATCTTTTTTGGACCCATTGTGTTACACTGGATATTGTTTGTAAATCAGTCATATTTTTACACATGCTTTACTGAAAGCCAGATGACTCTTCTGAAAGTTTAATGACTCATTGTGAGCTTTTTTCTTTTCCCTTTGCCCTTTAAGAAATATGCAAAGATACCTACGACAGGGAGAAAGGACTCCAAGAAACCCTCTCCTTTGAAAGAGCCCAAAGCTGTTTCTGCGCTGCGTTGCTCTGGATCGCTCATCATCAGAAGCCTCTTGCATGCTTTTTGTTGAGCAATATACGTTGCACCCTATGTTTATCTGCAATTATGCATGCAGAGTATTTAGTTAAGCCTACTTTCCTTTAACTGATCCCTCTCTTCACAGGAAATTCCTAGCATTTGAGATACAGAAATTACTCTTACCGCAGAAGCGTCTTGCATTGGAGACGTGACCTGTGTTGTGCTCGCTGTGGGTCTGCTTCTGCTGTATGAGAGGAGCATCTGGGGGTTGCAGTGCTTAGACCACTGGTCACTGGGGAAAGCAGAAAAAGAGATGTTACCCAAGGGGTTGTGTGCATTTCTGAACCCCCTGGTGTGTCAGGAACCAGCCTCCATCCTGATCCTGGCAAGGGCAGGATTATCCCTGAGGGAATGGCAGGATTTGAGCCCACTGCTCCTTGCACAGCAGGGGAGAGCAGAAGGATCAACAGACAGGGACCTTCTCCCTGTTCCCCACTTCTGGCACCCTTCCCCAGCTTCACTTTATGCTTTTGTCGGCTTTAAAGAGGGGGTAGGGACAATGGTTACTAGACAGAAAAGAAAACATATCTAAGAACAGCTTAAAAGTCCCAGATCTGGGGGCAGGATTGAACAACTGTCCTTAGAAACCATGGGCCTGGCTCGTGTTGATGGATTCCTTAACCAGAAACAGCATCTGCTTGAAAAAGTGTCCGTTTCTGGCATTGTTGGTAGCATTGCTGAGAATTTACACACAGTCTGGCTGGAACATAAAACCCGCTGAGAAACTCCACGGCACTGCGCAGTGATAAAAAGAAATTGGTGTTAATAAAGACAGACAAGGAGGCATGAAAGCTGTGACCCCGTGCCAAGAAGCATAGGAAATCTGGCAGCGCTGCATAAACAAAAACATTTCCTTAAAGGCTCTGCAGCCCCAAGCAGGCGAGTGATACCCCCGGCACAACTCGGAGTAGCCGAGCGGGAGCAGGGAGGCGAATAGCTGTCGGCAAGCTGGGTCTCCCCAGCCCTGCTGCAGCCCAGCTTGCCTCGCCACCCAGCAGGAGATGGGAATTCCAGCTCCCTCCTCCCAAGTTTAGCAGCCAGGATTGACTCCCTACCCCCCTACAAAGCTGCCTGAGAACCTGACCTCACCCAGACCCCTGTTTGTGAGCCGGCTTTGCTGGTTCCGCATGCGCTGCGGGACCTCTGGCTGGGGAGATTGAACACGAGAAACCCTAAAGGCATCGATGTTGGGAGCCAGAGGAAACCACAAGTAACCCCACTCACTTTAATTGGGTGTTTGGTCCAGCTTGGAGCCTGCACTGACCGGAAGCTCTTACCACGAGTGAAATCCACTGCCCATCTCCTCATGGAGCAGGGAGTAGGATGCGCTGGGGTGCCCCTGGGGGAGGACAGGGTGCCTGCAAGGCAAAGCCATGGATGCCAGGGCTGGGTCGCTGCTCTGTCTGTCAGCTTTCCCAGTGATTCCAAATCCCCGTTATTACTCATCACTTCTGGGAAGCCTATTCCCTCTTGCACCATGAAATGAAGATAAACTGGCACGAGGCCAGCGCCTCTGCAGACATCTGCTGCGAGCAACCTGGGAAGGTATCGGCGTGTGCATCACTCGCCGGGCTCAGCACGAGCTTGGGAAGGGCTGAGGGTCCCACTGTGCCCTGTAACACACCCCCATGCATGGGCAGAGCTGCTGCTGCTCGCAGAGCCCTCACCCCGTGCTTCCTGAGCCCCGTGCAGGAAGAGCCTCAGCCTCAGTGTTTTGGTGACCCGGGGCTGCTGCAGCCGCTCTCTAAATACTCCTGTGAGATGTTTATTTTGCAATAGCTGCTGCGAGCAGACGGGCGCTCTCCTGCTCACCAGCCTCAGGGGGAGCACAGGGGTCCCGTACCCGAGGGGTTCCATACTCAAGGGGTTCCATACCCAAGGGGTTCCAGGAGCTCCAATAGCCATGATATTGATTATTACTGTTAAGCACTAGCAGTTGATGTCAACACCGGGTTCCAGGAGCTCCAATAGCCATGATATTGATTATTACTGTTAAGCACTAGCAGTTGATGTCAACACCGGTGAGCTGGAGCATTACCAGAGCTGAGGTGACCCCCCAGCCATCCCCTGTGCCTTATTCAGATGGCCAGGCTCCCTCATCACCTTGGTTTGGGAGGGGAGTCTGAGGGTGTTATTGAGGCACCACAGCAGTAACTGGCCCCATGTTAGGGGGAAGGTGGAGCTGAAGTTCTCCTGGGCTGAATTACCTGTGGCTAGCCATGTGTAGCATCATCCTCTTGTCAAAGCATTGTCTTGGTGGAAAAGCCTGGTTATGATGAGCTGGACTAAGGCTGAGTGAAACATAAGCTCTGTAGCTTCCAGATACATAATTCAAGCTCTTTGGCTGCAGGGAGACAATACCAAGAGTTTCAGGAAGGGACAGAGGTTTCCTCCCAGCTTTGCAGGATTATGCTTTTCAGCTCCATCTCTCAGGTCTGGAGCTGGATTTTCCCCTCTTTCCCACAGATGCTTTGGCAGCAGAAAAAAGGAAACTCTGAACATTTCAGCATAAATTTCAAGCACTGCAGTGACAACTGTAAACCAAGTAAGATCCAGTCCAAGTCCATCAGCTTAGGGCTGTGCTGGGAACTTTCCATGCTAGGCTCAAGACTTGCTTCACTGGGGTGTGCTGCCTTGGTGATGCTGTGCAGAGGTGGCTCAGGTGGACCCAAGCAGGGTAAAAACATGCCCAGAGCTGTTAAATCCCTCTGCAATACAGAGCTCTATGATAACACAGGCAGCTCTTAGGTGTCCCTGTGCTGCGGCAGAGACGATCACTGCATTTACCCGAAGTCTGCTGCAGAAAACGAATCTGGCTGTGCCACACATGACACTGTTTTTCCTTTTGGTGTTCTTTTCCCCCCTCCTTGCTGCTAGGGTAACCAGAGAGCACAGGGAGAGCCTGGCCAAGCTTGCCAAGCAGTCCACCAACAAGTCCAAAGAGGCCCTGAGAAAAGTGCGAAGCAAAAGCATCAACCAGATAAAGAAGAGCAAGAGCAAAGTGTCTGAAGATACCATCTGGCTGCTGGAAAAACAGGTAATGTGTTCTTTTCTTCTGCCACATCATGATGCCTCACAGCTCAGTGTGTTGGTGCCAGCCCTTTGCTGACAGATCTCCAGCACTGAGAGCCCAGCTGGGGAATGGGTGGCCCAGGGCCGGGTATTTTGAGTCAGCAATGGCTGTTGCATTTGCTTTTTCTTTATGAGATTTGGGGCTTCAATCTCAAAGCCAGATTTATGATATGAACCACTGTAAACTGACACAAGGGGAAAAACTGTGCCCCCAAAGCTTTCAGACTTACAGGGGTTGTTGCTCAAAGCAGCTGAACTCGGGGAGCAAAACGACCGACATCCATAGCTTTACCACCATTTACACAGGGCCTGGCCACTGCAAAACAGCTGGTGTTAATGAACATTGCTCCAGTTTGTTATTAATGAAAAGGCTAGCGAGATTATCTCTGTTAGGAGTTTTTGGCTCCAATTCAGGAAAATACTTAAGCGCATGCCTAATTCCCTAAGAGCAGATGTCACTGAAGTCAATTACTTGGGCATAAACTCAGGCACAAGCCTAAGTGTTTTGCTGAATTGATGCCTCTGAAGGCAGGCCATTACTTTTTAGCTGTTTGTTTATTAACAGCTAAAGTTAGATACATTGCAAATGCTTTGGGACAGTTCTCTGTGTGCTCACAAAAATAAACATTGATATACAGAGCGTTTGTGCAAGCAGGAAAAATGGCCATGCTATTGTAACCGAATCCTGTTGGGAAGCCGCTCTCCCAGAGCGGACAGATGGTTTCTGCTTTTGGGGAGGTATCAGCTCGAGTCTAGTTTTTGCTTGTACCCAAATTTTTCAGTGTGAGGAAAGGTCATCATCATGTGAGACTGCATCCTAATCAGTCCTGAGAACTAGTGCATACCCCCCCCCCCGGTGTGCTCCAGCCCTTACCTGCACTCGCCCAAATAAGCACATGCCCATTTTGGTCCCATTTCCATCCTGCCACATCCATCCTGTGTTTCCAGAGTCCTGCTTCCTGGGCAGTGTTCAACAATCACCATTTCGTTTATTTTCATGAGAAATAAACAGATCAGTTACTTGATGTGTGAATTCATAGCTCGTACTGGGGCTGCGCTCCTGCTGTTACCTGGTTGGTTCTAGCAGCGGAGAGCTTGCAGGAGGTGACAAGGTAAAAACCCTCTCTTCTCCGGTGCCAGCACCAGCAGGTCTCTCACTCTGCCTTCCCCAGAGTCCCTCTGTTAAACAAGGACCAAGTCACTTGTGAAGCCCAGGCAGGAGTTGGTGTGTGTCTCTTTTCAAAGCCTTTGACCAGTCCCTGTTCTCATTGTACAGATGCAGCACTGGCACGGAATCACTGAGGGCTGGTAGGAGCCCCCACTAAGAGCCAGTTATTGCCCCAGCACTATTTGGGTTTTACTAGGACTTTAGGCTTTGTCTGAGGAGGCGATCCCTTCCCTCCTTTCCCTTTAAACTCCCACCTAGCCACAACTCTGACTTGTACCATGTTGCCACAGATCCAGCAAATGGCAGACAGCGCTGTAGCGGAGATGGACAAGCTGCTGGCAGCAAAGACCAAGGAGCTGCTTGGATGAGCACCATCCAGATGGACACACTCCCCCCTCGAGTGAGGCCGGACTGCCATGAACCCCAGTGACCATCCTTGCCCAGAGCAATGGGCCAGACCTCCAGAGCAGCTCTGTGCTGGGGTCCCTCCACCTTGTGTTATACTGCAGGGAGGGGGGATCTCTCCTCACTGTTCTTCATCCCGGTGGCAACAGAATTGGGTGAACTAAGGTTAAAATAAAACAACAGGGAGGAAGAGTGGAGACTGCTGGAAAGGGCTGGCACATGGGAGCAGGGCACAGGAGGAGCAGGTGCCTGCTCACCGTGTGCACCAGCCCATTTGAGTCCCAGCACCTCTCAGAAGCCAGGACCACTGCAGGAGGAGCCTGTGCTCTCCTGTTGTGAACCTTGGCATTTGGTTTTTTTGCTTAAAATAGAGTTAAAATGAGGTGTGGAGGAGCAGCCTTGGAAGAGGCAGTTCCTGGCTGGTTTGGCCCCTTGGGTTCATGCATCCTAAAAGATGTGTTTGCCTATTGCAGTGGCCAGCAGTCGTCTGCAGCCTGGCTACTGGGCAGGCATGAGGAGCTTGGCACCAACTGGTGCAGAGTGGGTGGGGGAGACAGGCTTTGCATTCCCCATGGCTTTGTGGATAGAGAACTGAAACCAGTGCTGTCAGTGTTACCAAGACCAAGAACACCAAAAACCAACACAAGAACTTGCCAAAAGCAGCGTCTGCCATCCCTGACCAGTTACGGACCCCCCGTGCCAGCCACTAGTACCACATTTAAGGGGGTGGAAGAGGTAGAAGCAGAGCAGGTCTCCGAGCACATCGTGCATCTCAGCTCACAACCAGCAGGTCCTCGCCAGCAGCAGCAAACAGCACCTTATGGAGAGGAGGGAAGGTGGTGGCCAGCCCCATAGCCCTGCTCCCAAGGCATTCGGGTTCAAAGAGCACTGAGTGCTCTGCAGTCCTTAAATAAACAACTCCCAAACCCTTAGTTTGTGTGCAGCGGGGAGGGGGAGGAGGATGAAGGATTTGCTCTGCGAGGGCCCCACACATCAACAATTTCTCTCCTTTGTGTATTTTGGCCAAAGTGCTCACCATGATAAATGAAGGCAGGCAAATGGTGAGCCCAGGGCGCTTGCATGGCTCGGCAAATTGCTTTCAGCCCAAATCCGGATTCCTTTTGACATTTATCAACCAGGCTTTTTGTGCTGTTCCTGCAGCCTCAGCATCCAGCCTGGGCCCGAAGGGTTTCCTGGTACCTGCCCTGGAGCAGCAGCTGCTGAGCTGGGTGTTCCTCTAAGCCAGGGCAGGTGGAGAAGCTGCTGCTGGTGCTGCCCATGGGGCTGCTCCAGCCTCTTCCCACTCTCTTAAGGGTTTGAGGTGATGGCAATGGAATGATGGAGGGATGGGATGGTGGATGCAGGCAGCAGAGCTGCAGAGTCACTGCGCAGATGAATTTCCTAAGTATTCACTGCTACTCCTTACCCTTTACTCCACCTCACATAAATTAAAACCAAGCACTAAGATGGCACCAGCACTGAGCTGGGGATGGAGCTGCCCATCCTTAGTGCAGCCATGCCCTATGCTTTTGGGATGTACCAGGAGGGGACCTGGTGCTGGTCACACAAAGGCAAAACAAGGTGCAAAAATAGCTTTTAAATGTGAAGAAAGGCAGAGACCTGTTCTCCAAGTGGCTGCAGCCAACCACTGCATGGTAGAGGAGGGCTGGGGAGTCCATTCACCTGCATCCTCACCCCTACACTCTGCATCAACCAGGAGCAGCCCCAGTGCCTGCAGATGCTGCTCTCACCCCAATCCAGCAATGCAGCACAAGCAGCACATGAGCCTGCAGAGCTGTGTGACCACAGCCCATCCTGCTCACTGTGGGACCTTGAACCACAGGACCAGCATCTTCCATACACAGAGGACTGCAGCAGCACCCACAGCACACAGCGGGGTACATGCAGCACATGGGCCCAGGAGACCACCCCCTGCCTGCCATGGTCACTGTAACCCCCCCCAGGAGAAGAGCAGACAGACACTCACTGTGACTGCAGCCGGCTGGCACACAGGGGGGCTCTGGACAGGTCCCACATTCCCTTTGCTGCACAGATCACCTGCTGCTCCACACTGAGAGCTGCAGCATGAGGCCTGCCTGCTCCAAACACTTCCTCCATCAGCATCAGCAGGAACCTCTCACTTGATTCCAGCCTGGATCACACCCAGAGCTGATAAGAAGCTGCAGCTGATGCTGTTGGCGGGTGGGAAGGAGTTCCAGCTGTGCTGAATAGCCCAGGAGGGAAAGGGACTGTGGGCCAGAAAATGGTTGGGCTGGCTGTAACATGGATTTGATGTCAGTGATGCTGCTTTGGCCTCAGCAGTAAATGTCTCTGCATGGTGCAGGGCAGGGCAGAGGGCCATGGCCAGACCCTACAGAGCTGTGCCCTGGGTTCTCCGCACACTGCTGTGCTCACCAGGAACACTTTTCCATCAGCACATGCAGATTGGGGCACCAGCAGGTCCTACATGGCAAGTCCTGCCATGGCCTCATGGGTTGGTGGTCCCCAAGGGGATCGCATCCCTTCACAAGCGGTACCCCTGTGCACATCCCCACTCATCGCATCCCAAGCAGAGACCCGCATCCTTCCCAGGGCTGCCCAAGCATCGCACTCAGCTCCACCAGGACACTTGGGTTTGTTCCGAGCAGCTGACCCAGGGCAGATGCACCAAGGGGGTGGTGGCAGGGACCGGGGCGGATGGGGATCAGCCTCCTGCCACCTCCCAAACCGAGCCCAGCGGCCATGTGGAAACATGGAGGCAAAAGGAAGGAAAAACTCCAAGGAAGCTGGAAGCTCTCGACATAGTTAAAAACCAACATCACTCTTCAAAATAGATGTGATTGCGCTCCTTGTGAGTCATCGAGCAGAGACACCAAGATTGCTTTGTGCCAGGGACGAGCCCGGGCGCTGATTGTGTGCCGCCCGGATTTGTATAAAACAGACCATGGATGGCATGTCAGAGTTTACAGCTCGCATACATTTTCAACAGTGAGCTTTGCAAAATGTATCAATGTAATCTCTGCCTCCTATATTCCGTGTTGATTAGACACGATTTCTGGCTGGATTTTCAGAAAGCTCAAGTGCTTTTTTAATCACTACAGAAGCTCATTATTGCTTTCCAGTGACTCTTATGTCCTTCACTTCTCCTTTCAGATTAGAGTCTATAGTCAGATGAATATTGGATGATTTCATTACATACAAATGCAATCAACAGTTTTGCATAAATTTCTCCTCTTTTCTTGAGTTTCAATTGACCTCAGCACCCGTGGAGGCAGGCGCAATACACATGTAAATGAGCTGGCGTTGCGGCAAAGGCACGGATGCGGAGAAACAAGATAAACTGTCAGATAATATTCAGGATTTTTAAGAGATCAAAAAATACTTCCTCCTTCAGCCCAGCCGTAAAAATGGCACCTTCAGCTGCCGGGGAATGTGCTTTTGTTTTGCTCAGTGTCTGGCTGTGGACAAAGGCCAGGAGTGGCACCAATGCTGAGCGAGAGGCTGGGCAGTGCCGGCAGCGGCAGCGTGGGGATGGGAGCAGTGGGGACGGTGTCCATGGGGTGCAGGTGGTGATGGAACAGGGATCCTGCTGCACAGGAGCCACTGGTGGGGTCTTGGAGACCATCACAGCGAGGAGATGCCCACCACCAGAGCCTGCTGCAGAGCTGGGTTTGGCGGCTGTGGTACCCTATGGTGGGTACCACCATCCCTGGCTCCTGCTCTGGTGTGAGCATCTCAATGAGGGATGCGGAGTTTGGACGCCACCAGACCCCCATCTCCTTCTGGGTGGCCCCAAGCATCATCCCTGTGGCAGGGACACCTGCCAGGGCTGGAGGCTGCCCTCCTCACACCGCACGGGCAGGGCACGGGGGAGCCGCATGTTCAGAATGTATTTAAGCTAACACTGCAAGTGAACAATCAGGGCTAATTTAAACAAACTATAATTAAACATAAAGGACTTCTTGGTAGGGAAGTCAGAGGAAAACTGTCAGCGGTTACTTTGGAAGCAAGGCCCTTACCCTTAAAAGAGCAATTTTTGTGCTAATGTGAGCAATCCAGCACTCCCACACTCGCCTTCGGGGGGCCGGTGGGGAAAGAAACTCTTGGGTTTCTTTTGATACCTTTATGTGCTAATCTTCTTAACAGATTTTTAATTAATGGGAGCAGGGCACTTTGCAGCGAAATCCATCGGTGTAATTGCCGGGTGCATTAGTCCCATTAAGCACACAAATTACCTGTCTCCAGGCCGCCGGCCCCACCGGGGAGCTCCCCGCGCTGGACACACCGAGCGGCCCCATTCTGAAACAATTTCGATAAAATAAACTCTCTAATCAGGTAAATAATTCCATAAGGGAAATTGCTGCCTTCCCGCAGCCCCCTCCAGTGGGACCTGGCTACTTTCAGGGGAATGCAGCATGCCTCCAATTACAGGCAAACCTCCAGCTCGGAGACTGCTTGGGAGAAGCCCACGGCACACGGGACCCCCTCGAACCGCAGCGGACAAGGAATTAAGGCATTTAAGCTGTCAGCCAGAATCTGGCCCGCTCCCTGATTACCTGGGGGGACGTGCGGTGTATTTAGGTTCGTGTCCGTTGCAATTTCCTGGCCCCAGCGTTGATCCCGAATGACTCGCGTCCGTGTCAGGTTCCTGCTCGGGGTCCCTCCGACACGTGGCCCCGGGCTCGGGGACGCTGACCTTTGGGCAATTAAGGACATCCAGGCCGGCCAGAGAAGGGGAAAGACGGAGCTGCCCCTACGAGCTGCTGGGTGAGTGGAGCTGCCTGCACCCGCTTCATTGAGGTGCTCAGCATGGCTGTGCTGGCTGCTGTCACCGCTCAGGATGGGTGCCTGCACTCTGGGGTCCTTCCAAGCCCCATCCGTAGGGTTCCATGGTACAAATCTGGACCTAAATGGGATGGAGACTCCCACAGCTCCCTCTGCTCAGCCCCTGAGATGGGAATGTGCCCACATACACAGTAGGGCTCAGGGCACCCATGGTGATGCACAGCCCCAGCGTGCTTCCCACTGCTTGAAGTGGCTGTGCAGTGCCAGGGACTCTGGGATACCCTTGACCAGGATGGCTCCAAATCTGCTGCACCAGTCGGGGCAGCTTCCCACCCTTAGCCCTACACCAGGGAGCAGGAAGGAGGGGTTCTTGCTGCACTGTGCTGTGAGCACATGTGATGGGGACACAGTGACAGGCCGATGCTCAGCGCTGTGCACAGCCAGCCATGGTAGGAACAGCCATGCAGTGAGGTTGCCTTCAAGCATCCCCTGAGCCGCTCAGGTAGGAGATCCCTGTGCTGGTCCCTGACCCCAGGATGGAGGAGCTCAAACCATGGGTGGCACAGAGCTGCTCTTCCCCTTGTCTGCCCCCATGGCACCTGGCACGGAGGGAGCAGAGGGTGATCCATGGGGCCATCGGAAGGTCGGAGCGCGGGAGCCGCCTCAGTGCACGGTGCTGGTGAGCGCGGGCAGGGAACCCTACACCGTGTGTAATTGGCATCAGATGCTCCCTGACCTGCTGCATCCACCGGGAAGCTGGAAGCATTTATTTGTCTGAGCCAGCGGCTCTATCTGCGTGCGGGAGGCGTTGGCGGTGGCGGGGGCCGGGCTCCCGAGCCTAATGAGTCTGAGCTGAAGATGATGAATATGATTGCTGAAAAGCGCCTTCCTGAGTCCTCCTTTCCTGGGGCTCAGGTTACCTGTTCCCAGACAGCCTGTCCAGCCCCGGCTTTTCAGCTCTCATTTGTAGCCCCTCAAACAGCGCCTGTCAGCTCCGCGCGCTGGAGGGAACGCGGGTCCTCCGCTGCCGTGGAGCTGGGCAAGGGGCCATCAGGGAGAGGTTTGCTCCCTGGGCTGCACCGATGCTGCCCTGCTTGGCCCTGTACCCCCAGAGCATCCCTGAGCCCAGCACAGGGTGACCAGACCAGTGTGATGCTCTATGTGGGGTCTCTGGGCCATTGTGTGGATTGAAGCTCCTGTGGTTCTCAGGGACCTTCCCCTTGGGGCACTTGTCACCGGTCACCTCAGAACCTTAAGGTAGAAAAAAGGGGGTTTGGCTTCCCTGTTCTCTGCCCAGCCCCTGCAGCCGACAGTCGAGTGTACACACGCTGAGCTACTTCCCACCCAAGGAGCCTCTCTGGGATGCACAAGGTTGGGTCATGCCAGGGGATGCTCCATGAGCCATGCAGATGCCCCGGGATTAGGGGGACACACTCCTGGACTGGGAGCCATGGGGGTGCCCCTGTCCCACTGCCCCAAAGCTCCCCTCGATGGCTGCCACCTCACCCCATGGCTGTGGGGTCACAGCACGGGGTGCCCCCACGGCTCCAGCCCCCCTGGGAAGACGAGGGAAGGAGTTGTAGGTGCTGAACCACTGCAGGTGCTTGGGTCCCAATGTCCTGCTCCGGTGCCATTGCGAAGCATCACCCCAGACCCGGGGGAAAAGGGTCCTGGGGGGCAGAGCGGAGCTGTGGGGCGGCCCGGTGCAAAGCAGCTCAGGACCATCAGCGCTTTCCCAGTGCCTCCCGGTGCCTCCGCAGCCCCGGCCGGCGCGGCGCTGCCATTGACGGTGTTTTGCTGCCTCCCTACGGGAGGACGCGGCCGGCACCACCGGCTCCCGCAGCCCCGCCGGCTCCCGCCCCGGGCATGGACACAGGGACACAGGGACACGCCATGGGATGGGGACACGCAATGACCTCTCGTCACTGCATCTCCCACAACGCCCTCTCCATCCTAATTTAAACTGGAGCAAGACCGAGGCGGCAGCTCCCGCATCCATCCTCTCGGCAGAGACGGAGGTGCAGCATCAGCACATCACTGGGGCAGGACCAACAGCCCAGGACAGCCATAGCTGGAGTGGGGCCACAGTCGCATCCCCCCTGCACCGAGGGGGGAAGAACAGGAAGCAAAACCCCAGTGATGCCTCTGGAAAGAGGAGGGAAGCTGAGGGAAGACAAGGGGTGAAGCCACAGCACTGATACCCACGGCTGCTGCTGTGAAAAGTGGAAGAGCATCCTGAGACCAGCATGGGGCTGGCCAAGAGCTGAGAGCGTGGCGTGAGACAGTTTCTTCTCCAAAGCAATGAGACCACTCTGGCTGCAATGGGAAGAAAAACTGACCCTGACCCACAGAAATGCAGCCGGAGAAGGGAGTTTGGGTCAAGATCGGAGTCCAAAATCATGACCTGGAAAAAATACCCAGATTTAAAGCAGGAGCTGGAGAACAGAGCTGTCCCAGGGAGCCTGGAGAACACTTTGAAGCTAACTGAGGAAGAAAGTGCCCTGTACATAGTTGTAA